TGGGTGTATGTGGCTGGCACCCTACCCACTGAGCTACCGGCGCCACCAGGGGAGCCAGTTTAAAAGTGCAAGTATAATGACGTGCTGAGGTTGCGTGTGATCCTTTAAAACACACATTTTTTTTTGTGAAAGATGCAGAGAAGCTGCCCTGGATGCTACAGAGTGACACTGAGGCCGTGCGTGCTCAGGATGGGTGGTGATCCCAGTCCGAGGGAGGGAGGCCCACTTCCCACAGGCATGGTCCTGGGGAGCCCCCAGTAGCAGCAGAGGCCTGTGAGGGCAGCTTTGTTGGAGTCCCTGCAGTGGCTGACCGTGTGCTGACCTGTTTGTCCTTGCGTGTCCGTGTCCATCACAGCATGAAGCGTGCCAGCTCTCTGAATACCCTTAATGTGGGTGGAGGGGGTGCCAAGGACTGCTTCCAAGTAAGGAGCCTCCCTCCCTGGGGACTTGTGTGGCCACCACTGCTGTCCTGACAGAGCCCTGTGGGCATTTTGGTGTTTCTGTTCTGAGACACGCAGTCATGATGATAGTATCTCAGCATTTCTCTGTGACTATCAGTCATGGGTGTTGAGCGTTCTAGGTATATTAACAATTGATGTTTAAAAGTAGTTTGACCTAATTAATTTATTCTGCTAAAGTAATATCAAAGCTTGGCCAGTTAGTGATTTATATGATTTTAGCCTCTAATAAGTTTATAACTAATAATTCCTTGTCTAGTTAAGCTGCTCTTGAGTGTTTTAAACTGTTCAGAACTTTCCTAGCATGGTGGCTAGCGTATTGTCCCTGTGATGCGGAAGTCTTTTGCTCTTGGTCAGCATGTCCAAGCCTCACATGGACACGTCCTGCTCTCTGTGTCTCCCCTTCCCCGCTGTGGCTGAGGGGTGGGGTGGGCCCTGGTGTCTGAGCACTCTCTGTTCTTGGGAGCCCACAGCAGGCTGCAGCACTGGGACCACCAGTCCCTGTCCTGGCACTAGGGCTCGTGTGGCTTCCCAGTTGTCCAGTCCAGTAACTAAGATGGCACTGATTATTGGCAGTCCCAGGCCTCCCAGACTGGCTGCCCCCACCTCCCAGCACCCTAGAGTCTGCTCATCAGGCTCTAGGGGCAACTGAGGCGCTTGTAGGATGCAGCTGGCAGTTTGCTTGGACTATCCCCAGTGAGGAGAAGAAAGAAGGGCTTTTTGTTCTATAAAGGCCCGTCATTAACACCATAGTTTGACATCTGATTTCCTGGCATTTCCACATGTACGTTTGACCCACTGGGGTTCTCATGTGTGGGCTCAGATCTAGATAGCTGGGGTTGTTAGACCTAAGATAATTTGAATCTGCATCATTTGAAGTGCTGGTTAAGTATAATTTTTCTATTTGTTTTTTCATGCAGGAACGAAATAATTGTCTGGCAGACTTGAGGGCTCTGAGTGCCAGCCACACTGACCTGGCCCAGTGAGGGCTGGGCAGAGTAGTCCCAAGTCTGATGGAGCACTGAGCTCCTTCCAGCGCTGATGCACCCCTCCTGCTCTGCCTGGAGGGGTTCCTTATAAAAAGACCCAGGGCACCTGGGCCCCAGGATTCCATTAGTGATGGACAGTTGCTGAGACCAGTGTGACCCACAGGGTGAGGGCCAGGGAGGCAGCGGTGGCGCTGGCATCAGCTTTAGCACATTTGGAATCAGTCATTGGAGGCCTCCTGGGGGATAAGTAAGTGTGCAGGCCCGGAGCTCCACGCTTGTTGCGACCTCTGTCTTGGGGGTCCTTGTCACCCTGCCTTCCTTCTGCGCAGAGTGCCTTATGGACATCTCCTGTGGTCACTCAGGCAGTGGGGCCCACAGACTCACCTCCTTCAGACGCTGCTCTGATCCCTCAGCAGCAGGTGGCTATGGGTAGCACTGTGCGTGTCCATCCTTTGTACCTGTGAACAGGTGGCTGTACTGTAGCTAGTTAGGTTGCTCATGGGTACTGTTGTGCCTTCTGCCTGTCACCAAACTCTGCCTTGACAGCAAACTCTTCTAAATTTGAATATTGCAATAAGGCTGTACCTTAGGAATCTGGAAACTTAAACTTCATCTTTTTCAAATGATCAGCATTAGTGAGCTGATCTTCAACAGCAGAGCCTGAAGCTGAGAGGGCGGTGGTCTTAAGAAAAGAGGAAGTGGGTTGCTCCCCCGGTGGCTTCACTTCTAGGTCTGTTTCCGGAGTCCCAGCATCTGTGGCCTGGGATACCTTCTAGGTGTATGGCTGTGCTAGAAGCCTCTGGGGCTCTGCTTTCACCCCTTTTGACTGAGTTTCCTCTTTCCTGGTGGCTCATATGCACCAAGCACATAGGTGTTTGGTTGTTTTTTGTCACCCTTTGTAGAGCGCTGTGGCATCACAGCTCACAGCAATGCAACCTCCAACTCTTGGGCTCAAGTAATTCTCTTGCCTCAGCCTCCCAAGTAGCTGGGCCTGCCATAACACCTGGCTATTTTTTTCTTTTTCCCCTTTTAGATACAGAGTCTCACTTTGTCGCCCTTAGTAGAGTGGTGTGGCATCATAGCTCCCAGCAACCTCCAGCTCTTGGGCTTAGGCAATTCTCTTGCCTCAGCCTCCAGAGCATCTGGGACCACAGGCGCCCGCTACAATGCCCAGCTATTTTTTGGTTGCATTTTAGCCAGGGCCTGGTTGAGAACCTGCCACTCTCAGTATATGGGGCTGACACCCTACTGACTGAGCCACAGGTACCGCTCACCTGGCTGTTTTTTTTGTTGCAGTTGTCATTGTTTTAGCTGGGCGGGGCCAGGTTCAAACCTGACAGCCTTTGTGTATGTGGCTGGCGCCCTACCCACTGAGCTATGGGCACTGCCCATGTCTTATTTTTTAAAAGCTTTTTCTTTTTGTTTTGAGACAGGGTCTCCCTCTGTCCCCTTGGTAGAGTGCTGTGGCATAATACCTAATAGCAGCCTCAAACTCTTGGGCTCAAGTGATCCTCCTGTCTCAGCCCCTTAGAGCTGGGACTACAGGCTCCTGCCACAATGCCCAGCTGTTTTTTCTATTTTTAGTAGAGATTGGGTCTTGCTTTGCTCAGGCTGGTCTTGAACTCCTAAGCTCAGGCGATCCTGCCTCAGCATGAGGCTACGATTACAGGCATGAGCCTCTGTACCTGGCCTAAAGCCTTTTCTTTGTAGAGTTAATACACAGGGTAGATTTTGACAGGAATATGAAATTCCACCCAGAGGTATCATTTCTTTAGGGCTGTAAGACCAGCCTGTGAGTTAAGATGCCCAGGAGAATAGTCAGGATGTGCCCGTGAGCTGGGACACTAAGACACGTCCTGTGGGCTTGAGGAGGGATCTGCAGTCCTGGCTGTGGACTAGACTGTAAGGCTTGAGCCTCCTGTGAGGGGCTGGGTGTTCATCTCTAAGGCACAGCAAGGGCACTTGTTTGCTCCCAGCTTTTCCGCAAGAGTCAAGTCAGGCAGGAGGGCTGGGAGCCCCAGTGTGGCTGGAGGCCCAGAGCTACCTGTGCATGACCCTGGCCAAGTGGACATGGGGCTGACGCTGGAGACCAGCAGCCTGCAGTTTTGTTGTAAGGCTGGACTTTAAAATATCCTTATGTAAATTCCATATAATTTTATATTATCTCATGTCACAAACTGCTGTTTGTGAAAAGATATTTGTTTTCATTAAGACTGTGTAGCTAGGGATTTCCTAGAATTGAAGCTGCTCCATGGAGTTGACACTGTCCCCTAGTTGGTCACCTGTGGCCACGTCTCCTTCTCCGAGGCATGGATCAGAAACTTATTATTATGTAAGTGCTTTCTGGAGGTGATTAGAAAAATTGGATGGATTGTGAGAAGCCATCAAAAATGAGGAAAGAGGGTAGCACTGTGTCCCCTCATTGAAGATGGCACTGTAGGAGCGCGGGGGTGGGGTGGTGGCTCAGGACAGCAGGGGTCAGGGGGCTCCCTTCCCAAGCCCCAAGAAGTTTCTTCTCCAGGATAGATAGCTGAGGCTGGCTTGAAACCCAGCATTTCCTGAGTGACAGTCTCTGGAGAGACAAAGGGCTTCCAAAAGAGTAAGCACAGCTGACACAGGGTTAATTCTGAGCTCCCCAGGCTGCACTGCTGCCCAGTAGCCTTTGTGGAACAGAAAACAGTGCTCAGGGTGGAGGACAGAAGAGCACTCTGAGTTCAGAGGAAGGTGCGGGGACCTGCGGTTTCTGGTGTTTGGGCTTGGTGACTACAAAGGAGGCAGGGAGTGTGCTGTTTTCAGTCTGGTGGTCTGAACCTTAACACTCCACAGAGAGAAGCGGGGCCAGCTCCCCTCCTCCATGTTCCTTTCCGTGAGACACCCCAGTTGAGAGCCGGCACCTGTTTTCAGTTTTTGTCATGTAAATGTGCAAGTGACCAGTGGCAGAGGCAGTGGGCCAAAGCATCGTGGCCTCTGTGGCCGCAGTGCCCATTGCACCATGCCAGCTCCAGAGGGAAACCTGTGTGGGCACATGGCCTGGGGAGGCCATAGACAGGCAGTGTCGGCGCTTAGAGCAGCTTGCCCTGGTGTTCCATTAGTGGAGCTCAGATGGTGCTTTTCTGGGATTAAAAATAATGGGCTTGATCAGAAAGCTGCTGGGAATATTGTGTAATGAGAAGTTTAGTATTTAGGATATACTGCATATTGCTAAGGACCTATGTTTCCAATTTGTAGAACAGATTTTTTCCAATATCATAACTTTGTGGGATGTTCTTGGAAGGCACGTTACATACATGAAACTAGTATCTGTTTGTATTTGCACTTATTTTTGAGCAGTGTGTACCTTCTGCTCAGGTTTCTGAAAACCGTAAAGTGGCCCTTAGCAGCACTGACCACAATCAGTGGTCATGACTTTCTGAGGTTGGTGACATTGTGCTTGAGACTTGGTCAGCAGTCCCGGCACCAGTGAGGGACACATGTTCAGTTCACAGTCTCCCAACTTTCTGGGCCCCCTGCCAGGCCAACAGAACAGATGGGGGACCCCCCAGTGGGGGGGCATCTGCTCTGCCTCCCTCAGGGATGGCTGGTGTTCCTGGGACCACCTGAATGCAACCCTTCCAGATATTGATGGCATTGTGGGAGGTGCAGCCCTGCGCCCTCCCCTAGGGCAGGGCCGGGTGTCTCCTATGAAGTGCACTCCACTGCGGAGCTGGAGTTTCATTTTCTGATTGTTGGTACAACATGCCTAGAAAAATATTTGGAATTGTTTATATTTAATTACAAAAATAAAATAACATTTTCTGGTGTAAAGTCCTGCACTTTTGCAAAAAAGCTATTTTGTAAAAATCTAACCCCAAAATAACTTTTTGCCAGCAATTCTTAACTTTTCTGGGGTTACAGGGCCTTGATAACCTGATGACATTTTCTGCCCTGGAAACGGCACAGGCAGGAGTACCACAGGGCAGCCCACCTAGCCTCAGGGCTAGCTCCAAGAGTGCCCTAAAGACTGACTTGGGGGCCAGTGTCTGCCTCAGGGCTTTGGGAGAATAGTCAAGCCACTGGGTCATGTTATGTCTCAGTTTCCCCACCCTATGGCAGGGCAGAGACGTGAGCCATGTCCAGGATGGGGACTGAGATGGGGCGTAACTCCCAGAGAGCAGCCTGCGCCTCCCTACACGCAGCACCTTTGTCAGAGGCCTACTCTGTGCCAGGTGCCCAATGAGAAGTGGGTCACAGTCCTGCCCATATGGGCCATGCCCCTTGGTGACATCTGGGCCTCATGTCTCTATGACCAGATGGTCAGATTCCAGTCTGCAGCCGGATGTGCTGCCGGGAGGTCCCACTTTCTAGTTTGAGTAGGGCCTGGCTACATGACTCCACAGCCAGGAGTCCTGCTATGTCCTCAGCAGGATGGACGGTGCACCAGGCCAGGGCTGCACTGGACGTCCAGACTCCGGGGGCCAGGCATGGGGGGCACTGAGAAAGCACCGCAAGCCTTTTCTTTTTCCAGTTTCTCAGTAGAACCCTGAGGCTGCTGTGCACCCACAAAGGTGGTGCAGGTCCGGTCCCACTCACCAGATCCTCTGGATGGTGGCCGGAGGGCAGCTTGGGGCTTCTCCTCTACCCCATACCAGACTCAGGTCTTAGGTTGGGTGTGGGCTGGAGGGGACTTGGCTGATTGCAGCACACCATAGCCCGAGCATTACCAGGGGCTTTGGGCAGACTACACTGCCTGTAGGAGAAGAGGCCCCTTCTGGGCAGGACCCCAGACCTAGGCCAGGGGTGGCCCAATTCCTGGGGGTGATAATGTGTGAAGCAGAGCTGGGGAAGGAGGGGCTGCCCCCCAGGAGTCCTCGACTATGGATACACCAGAGTGGAGTCCCCAGCCCCAGGGCCAACTAGGGCCTGTTGGAACAAATGCTTAGGCCTGGCAGGTGGGCCAGAGGGGAAAGCAGCCCCCATACCTGGGGCAGAAGGTGGAGTGACACCCATGAGAGCCTGAGCTGGGCAGGCTCTATCACTTGGAGGCTCAGGCCTGGCCAGGCTGTCTGCACCCACCACCAAGTCAGCAGGACTCTGTTCCAGGAGTCCCTCTCACCCCTTCTGCGTTGACTGTGTAGGAACAGGAGGAGGTGGGCAGGTGGGGGGCAAAGAGCACCCGCAGGGTCCGAGCTGGACAGCCAGGACGGTCGAGCATGGCCTCCTCCTCACGGAGCCGGTCTGCCATCAGTCTCATGAGGAGCTGGTTGGCCCAGGTGATGCCGAGGGCTGGACAGATGTGCCCATCTGTGGAGCTGAGGAAGAGAACAGACCCCTGATGCGGGTGATGCCTGGCAGCTCCACAACTGAGCCCCCACCTGTGCACTACAGCCGCACTCACCCTGGGGGTCTGGGGGCCGAGCTCGGCTCCTGCACTGCCTCTGTCACCTGTGGGATTCAAAGCTGAGTCAGCTATAGCTGCTGAGGGTTTCCTGGAATTTCCGAGTCCTTAATGCTATAGGCACAGCTGCCACCTACTCCACCCTCAGGTCCCTTGGTGGCCCTGAGGCCTGCTCAGCCTACCTGGTTGATGCACAGCACAGGGGTCTGGAAGGCCCAGCTCAGCCGGCGCAGCGCAGACCCCAGTGACTGCAGGCGCCTGGCCCTGGGGACGGAGGCCTGGCCATCAAATTCACACCGGAATGGGGCTGCCACCGAGTCGATGACTACCAGGCGGGCCATGCCCCGAGACAGTAGGATGGGGACCTTCTGTGTCACACACTCCAGCAAGGTGTCCTGTGGCATGAGGGGACATGGTCACCCCCACCTGTTGGCTGCTGTCCAGTACTGCTGTGTCTGTTGTTTCTGGCCCAGTCCTGTCCTCCTTTGAAAGCTCCATCACAAGCTCCCACTGCACATAGTCCACCCCTTGGCACTGTGGCCCTCCCAAGCAGCCACCCTGGACCACGCCGACACCCAAGACTCCTGTCCCCCTCACACCGTACAACAGCCTTCCTTGCATTTTTGGGGGTCTGGTCCCTCCCACATTATACTGTGGTCTCACCCCTTGTCCATCCCTTGAGTCAGCACAGTGGCCAGTCCCCTCTCTCAGCGGCTCCACACCAGTTGCAGAGGTCACTTAGGCTCAGCTGCACCTCTAAGACCAACCTGTGCGCCCCTTGGTGAGCTGGCCAGTGCCCTTGCCAGGTGGGTCTTGAGGGTGCCCCTGGCAGGCCACTCTGTGAGGTAGGGGACCAAATGTCCTTCAGGCTGTCACCTAGACCAGTCAGAACAGGTCTGTTTCTGCCAGAGAGTGGGGGCATCACCTCCAGAGTATAGGGAGACCCTATGGGGTCAGGGTGGGGCTGCAACAGAGACCCCCTGGGAAGGGAAGTGTCCTCAGGCCTCCTTTTGGGAGCTCTGTGCACTGTTGGCCAGGGTTGGGGGCCATGGCCTTGGCTGGGCTGGCCTTGTCTGTGGAGGGAGGAGGGAGGATAGCTGCCCTTGGGCACCAAACTGGGCAGGATTCAGGCCTCTGGGGCTTTGCCAGGGGTTCTGTGGCCCCAGATGGGATGGACAAGCCTGGGGACAAACATAAGGCTTCCATGCTGCCCCTCAATGGTAGGGTCTGCAGCTGGACAGTGGCTGTCCTGTCTGGCACTCTGGAGACAGTGGAGGGTGAGCCCCCTGCCCTGTGTGATGCACGTCTGTACCTCCTCCCCAGGGCCTCCCCAGCAGAACCTCTTTCTATGGAGAACGACAGTGGCGGCAGCAGCCTAGAAGACGCATCTGCTAACGTGAGCCCCCCTCACTCCCTGGGCCAACCCAAGCCCTGTGCAGGGCGGGAACTCTGGATGGAGAGGGATCTGTGGGTACCTGGGGGACAGACAGTGGTCGTAGCAATCATGCCCATGTGCTACAGACCCATGCCCTCTAGGTCCCCATACCCTGTAGTGAGGGCTGAGGGCCAGAGGCCAGAGGAGGTGGCAGGGTAACGATGGCCCAGGATTCCACTGGCACAGAAACGGAGGGCACTGTGTCCACACCCAGGCCTCCCACTTTCAGATGCAGGCCCCTGGAGCTCCAGGGAACAGACACAGAGGACTCATGGGTCCCTGCATCTTGGCTTCAAGGAAGCTCATACCCAACGATCCCCCCTTTCTATGCAGACTCTTCTCCCAGAGAGCTGTTTTCAGAACAAAACTTAGAAGCGCCACCTGTGTTCTCTGCTGCCTGTCCTGACCTCTGGGCTTCTCTTGCAGTGACTCTGGCCTGGCCCGCTCCAGGATGAAGCTGCTGTGTGCAGGCCCCGGAGCCGCCCAGGGACAGCCAGGGCAAGGCTGGGAGGGCCTCCGGTGGAGCCTGCAGCTCCAACTCCGCTGCTCCCGCACTCACGTCTGTGCTCATGGGTGCCACACTCCCCAGGGAGGATAGGCCGCACCCCTCCTGGACCTGCTGGGCCTCCAAGGGCCACTCCCAGTATTCCTCCCCCGCACTGTGTGATAATGTATTTTACTGTAAATTTTTTTTTAAATTAAAAGTTTATATGCCTCATGCTTACTTGAAAGTCGAACAGTTCTTTAAAGATGGGGGTAGGCCCACCCAGGAGCTGGGGGCTCTGCCAGCGACCAGAGGCGGTCAGCAGTGGCTGGCGTGCTAGGCACTCCCTATGTTCCTCTGACATGCAGGTTTCCCCCAGACTTTCTCCCTCTCCTTCCCAGTCCTTTCCACTCATGACCTGGAGTGGCCTCTTCAAGTAGCTGGGCTGGCCTGCCCTTCCCGCCCTTTTCACCAGCTGCAAACTGACTTGGTCCTCACCCTCAGGAGGCCTTTCCATTGGCTTGTCCTCCAAGTCTAGGCAGCCTGTTTGGGGAGCCAGCAGCCGAGGGTTGAGGGACAGTGCCACCTCTGAATGGAGCCCTGGCCCAGTGAGGGCAAATGTCCCTCTGAGGTGGGGGGGGGCACTCAGCCCATGTACTGTCCTTCCCCACGGCAGTGGCCTGGGAGTGGACCTGTCCTTCTGTGGCCAGTGGCAACCTTGGGCCTCCACCTGTTGTGAGGCATCTGTTTCCACACTGTCCTTGGGGAAAGCTATAGGCAGCATGTGGTGTTTGGTTAACTCTTGAGTTTCAGGTCATAAAATTCAGCTGGACACTGGGGGCTGATGTTTAGACCCAACATGAGCTCTCATTCCCTCCTGTAGTCCCTGGCCTGGAACAGGCTCTTGTGGCCACAGCCTTCAGTTTCTGCTGGTCCTGAGTCTCTGCTCCAGCCAAACCCAAGTCAGAGCCTAACTGGTGTCTACCCATGGGCAAACCCACAGCCTGACCGCTGCTGCCTTCCTGCTGGGAGCCTATCAGGCAGACTCTCCATTTACCAGGGTCACGGCCCTGATCCCCAGACCCACCTCTACCCAACTTGACTGGTCCTGGTGAGGGCCATACCCTGGTGTGTCTTCCTATGGCCCTGTGGCACGTTTCTTCTCTGCGGGACACTCACCACATCAGCCACATGCTCCACGAAGATCTGGTCACCAAACCTGATCTTCTGGACCACATTGCCTGGGACGTCTGTGCGTAGCTGTGTCTGGAGGGCCATGAGCTGCTGTAGCCGCCTGGTGGGGAAGACGTCCTCTGTGCAGACGTACACGGCCCCTGTGAGGAAGAGAGCCCTGTGGGTACCATGCAAACTAATGCACACGCCCGCCCCATTCCACCACTGTGCCTCGTGGTGCTTCACCTCCAGGCTGAGAAGGCAGATGGGTCTGGTCTTTCTATTCACTGAGCCACCCTGCCTGCCAGGCAGCCTCTCAGAAACAGGCTGGGCCTGACCCTGGGCCACCTCTCTAGCCCAACCCTGCCTCTCCTCCCACTACCTTCTTCTTTCTCCCTTCCCTGTTCCCCGTGGCTTGCAGGCGCACCCCGTTCTACACAGGGGTACCCTCAAAAGACCTCATGTCAGGTGTTTCTTCTGTTCCACGTCAAGGCTCCCATACACCCAGGCTGTGCGGTGATACCTGTGTCTCTGCTACACTCTGAGCAGAGTGATAACTCTCTGAGGTGATAACGACCAACGTGGTCACTGGAGCCTCCACACACCCTGCAGTAACACATGGGCCTGGCCGGACTCTGCACCACAGAAGTGCAGAGTCCCTTGGCCAAAAAGAGCCAGGGGCCACTTGGAACAGACTCTCAGTCTGTGGGCAACAGTCTTCAACAGATTCCAGGACCATTCATTGAAGCAGGAACACTCTTAAAACATGGTGTTGGCACAACCGAGTATCCTGCATACAAAGAAGAAACTGGGCCAAATACAAACATTTAGAAGAAAACACAGGTAAATCTCCGTGACTTTAGGCTACGTGGTGCCTGAGATGGGACACCAAAAGGACGAGCCACCAGAGAAAAATAAGTTGGATTTTATGAAAATGAAAAATGTTTGTGCTTCAAAGGATGCTATCAAGAAAATGAGAAGACAACCGAAGAAAGAGAGAATGCTCGCTAATCATGGTAAGGGATTTGTATCAGGATGTATGAAGAATTTTTACAGCTCACTAATAAAAAATATTTAAAAACAGGCAAAAGACCTAATACACTTTTCTCCACAGAAGACACACAAGTGGCCAAGATGCCAAAGAAAAGATGCTCAACGTCATTAATGGTCAGGGAAATGCAAATCTAAACTACAGCAAAAGTTCACCTCACGCCCGCCAGGGTGGCTGTGACCAGGTTGGGTGGAGATGTGGAGGAACTGGACCCCCAAATGTGATGGAATTGGATAGTGGTGACGGGTGCACAACTATACGAATATGCTAAAAACCACAGGACTGTGCGCTCCAAGAGTGAATTTCTTTTCTTTTTTTAGAGACAGAGTCTCACTTTATTGCCCTCGATAGAGTGCTGTAACGTCACAGCTCACAGCAACCTCCAACTCCTGGGCTTAGGGGATTCTCTTGCCTCAGCCTCCTGAGTAGCTGGTACTACAGGTGCCTGCCACAACACCTGGCTATTTTTCATAGCAGTTTGGCCAGGGCTGGGTTCAAATCTGCCACCCTCGGTTTATGGGCTGGTGCCCTACTCACTGAGCCACAGGCACCACTCAAGAGTGAATTTCATAATGTGTAACTCACACCTGAGTTTAAGAAAACCAATGGCTGGTGAGCTCTCCCAGCACTGACTGTACTGTGAAGGCCGCCACCCTGGCCCAGCCCCTGCAGGGTCCTGCTGTCCCCTACACAGCACAGCCGGGGAGGGGGAGGACAGAGGTGCCTGCTATGTGCATGCAGCTTTTAGTTCTGATCTGATTTTGTTTTGACAGAATTTCAAATGTGGAAAAGTTTCAGGAACAGAAAAACCCCAACTCTGACCCGTGTCAGCACAGGAGCTGCGCCTGCACCCCTAGCCCACCTGGATAATTCCAGGTCATTCCTCAGGGCAAATGCTGCCTCGGAGGCCTTGTCTCTCTCTCTCTCCCTCCAGCCGGAGTCTTCTCTGTTCCTGCTGGGCTGTGGACTCTGAGGCTCGGAACCAAGCTGGACCTGCGCCTGCCTCACCCCCATGGCCCTTAGCAGAACTGGACGTGCTTCTGTGGGGTTATATGCGGGGCCTGCTGGGCCGCGGGGCTCTGTGAGGCAGCCAGCATGACCCACAGTGGGCCTGGGACAGTGGCCTTGTGGGTTGGTAGGGGCAGGATTCAGAACAGCTCGAGTCTCCCTGCCATCCTTTTCTTCAAAATTCAGGCCCTCAGACTGCATCTGGGAAAAGAAGCCATCTCCTCAGCTTAGGCCCACACTAGACATGGCAGCGGTGCTGTCAACCCTTCTTCCTTTCTCTGCCCCTCTAGGCTGGACTAGAGTGTGGTTGTTCCACAGTGTTACCCTGAGGGACACGTCTGCATCTCCCATCATCTCAAAGGAGACATCCCTGGAAACGGATGCTTCAGTCACCCTGATGCCACCTGCTGATCTGCCATCAGCTCCTCCCTGCTCCCTCATCCTGAATCTAGTGGCTCTCACCATAGTCCTACTGGCCACCCAGCCTTACACCCCCACCTCCTCACCAGACACACATGCACTGAGCAGCAGGCTTAGAGGACGGACCGTAGGCCCCTCACAGGCTCCTCATGCTCTGCCCACATCCCACCCCACAGTCTCCAAGACCCTGGGCTGGGATCCAGTGAAGGCCCGGCCACTGGGCTGCACATTAGCCCAGTGCATCCCCTGTCACGGCCCAGAGGCAGGATGGTGCCTACTGTGTGCCTGGCTCGCACCCAGAAGGTACAGACGGGCTGGCCCCGCAGTGGACAGGGCCCCTGGGATCCCCACTGGGCTGGGACTGTCTCTGAGATGTGGGTGTCATCAAGAAGGGTCTGGGGGGGAGATGCATGTAGCATGTGGCCTCACGGATACAGGATGACGCTTCCTCACTGACGCTGGCCTGCTTAGGAGGGTGCTGGGGTGTAAGTGCAGAGCGAGGCAAGAGCCTGCTCATCCTCTCTGAGCACACTCAAGACTCACCTCATCCTCCCAGGCACAAGGACAGTTTTGGACGGTGCTCAGGCTAGACCCCCACCCCCACCCAGCCACAGATCACAGACTGCCCAGACACCTGCCAGGACCTACCCCTCCCCAGGCCTCAGGGACAGAAATACCTGAGCAGACCCGCAGGTGGGAGCATCCCACATGTGGTCAGGAGAACCCCACCCCCCACTGATGCCCACATACCTGCAGCTGTGGGCATCCCACATGTGGTTGGGAGACACCCCTTCCCCACTGATGCCCACATACCTGCAGCTGGGGGTGTCCGACATGTGACAGGAGACCCCCCTCCCCCACTGATGCCCACATACCCGCAGGAGACATCCCACATGTGGCAGGAGACCCCCCCTCCCCCACTACTGTCCACGTAACAGCTGCCTGGGTGTACTGGACTCAGGGGGCTGGTGGGGACAAAGCATAGCTTGACTCTCCTGGCCCTGGAGCAGATCCCAGTGTGAGCCAAGGCCAGGCCACCCCAAGGTCTGAGCTCTGCCCATGTGGGGCTGAGCGAACAGGTGTACCTGGAGGCCCTGCAGGGGACACACGCAGGAAAATCTAGCGTGGCACAGCCCCACAGTGCAGCCAAGCTGTGTAAAAAAGCTCAGGGCTCCTAAGAAGCATGTCCATCACTGGGGACTCATACTTGGAAGGAATGCTTGGGTGAAGCCTTGAGAGACTGAGCAGGTGAGCTCTGGAAACCTCCCACTGGCCTCATGTGGGCCTAGTCCACAAGCGCAGGGGACCCGGCCAGCCCCACTGTCCCTAGGCTGCAGACCACAAGCTTCTCCCTGTAAGGACACACACTAGGTATTCCTCCTGTGAGTACAGGGCCACTGGGTTCACAGCTGCATGGGAGCCTGCCCTCGGCCAGCCTCACACTGCCCTCTGGCAGTGAGGCAGGAGGATGGGACAATGGCAAGTGCCCAGAGATGGCCACTAACTTCCTTAACAGAGGCTGCTCAAGCAGAGTGGGGGCCCCAGGACATGTGACAGACTCCTAGCTCTTGGGAGGGTAGCCACTCACCTGCCTCCAGGCCTCCATGCTGCTGTGGGAACTGAACAGCCAGGCAGAGCTGTAGTGCCAGCTGCGTCTTGCCCGCTGAGCTGCGGCCAGCTAGCTCGGTGATGCCCTCCAGGGGCAGGCCACCACAGAGGAGCCCATCCAGGACAGGGCAGCCGAGGCTCAGGCGCTGGTGCTGCGCAGGGAACTGCTTCCTCTGCCGGTGCAGGTGCAGCGCTGCAGGGCGGGGATAGCGTCAGGACTGCAGACAGCGATCACGCGGGACAGGCAGGGGGCTGATGGCAGGGAGGAGGCTCAGACTTCTCAGCAACCATCATGGGGCTCCTACAGTCTCAAGAGGATGGTCTCACACTGTGATGGTCCCAGGGCCAGTTAACAGGGCTGAGCAGGCTTTAAATTGGCTCAGACATCACTGATGTGAAACATAAAATCCACAAAGAATGGGCCAAGCATGGTGGCTCACACCTGTAACCCCAGCACTTGGGAGGCTGAGGTGGGAAGGATCACCTGAGCTCACAGGTTCCAGACGAGCCTGAGCCAGAGCGAGACCCCATCTCTAAAAATAGCCAGGTGTGTGGTGGGTGCCTGTAGTCCCAGTGACTTGGGAAAGTGAGACAAAAGAATCAATTGAGCCCAAGAGTTTGAGATTGCTGTGAGTTGTGATGCCACGACACTCTACCAAGGGCAACAAAGTGAAACTCTGTCTCAAAAAACAAAAAAAAATCCATGGGTGGCGCCTGTGGCTCAAAGGAGTAGGGCACCGGCCCCATGTGCCAGAGGTGGTAGGTTCAAACCCAGCCCTGGCCAAAAAACTGCAAAAAAAAAAAAAAAAAAAATCCACGTGGAAGTTTGCACAGCAGGGCCACCTCCTAGGGTACCTGCCTGAGCACCCATGCAGATCAAGAGGTGCTAGGCCACATGTGGGTGGAGCCATGCCCGTCCACAGTCTATGACAGAGCTGCTCCAGAGGGACCCTGGTCACAGACATCTGGCAGCAGGGCCTTGGGCAAGCCACCTGACACTACCTCCTCTGTCACACCAGGCCCCCTGGGGCAAGGCTCAAGGTAGGACCTGCAGTACCAGCTGAGTTTATGTGCTCAGCCAACCATGGCAGTCCGAGGTTCAAGGTGATCCACAGGGCCCTGGGGACCCTGGGCAGCTTGCTGTGCTCACCATCAGGGCCTGCTCCCATACAGGGAACAAGGGGCTGGCTGGAGCCAGCACCACACAGTCCCTAATCAGGGCACAGCCCCCGGCCCCTGCCCTCACCTCCACCTGGTGAGACCCTGGGCAAGTCGCTCCCTGCCCCAGCTCTCTCTTTCCTTGCTGTCACTTGGGTGTCACTGTCCTGTCTTTTGCTCCCTGCAGGAGCCTGAGGAGCTCCCGCTGACTGCCAACTCCCTGCTTCCTGCATCCCACCTCATCCCTTTTCCTTGGGCCTCAAAAAGTGACCCGGGGGCAAGGGTCCCCTGGGCCCTACAGCCCTTCCATGTCCACCCCATGTGTCCTCTACTGTGACACTGTGACTGTAGCCCATGGGCAGAGGACAAGTGAGATGAGGCCTCCTATGCTTGGAGCCGTCACATGAGATCACCCCTCAGGTGGGCTCTGCAAACACAGCCACCTGGATCACAGGGAATCCACTTTGGACCCCCAGGGCACCTCCCAGACTGCTGGCCAGCACTGGCGTTCTCATACCCACCTGTGAGGATGCTGTCCCCCCTCAGGTGCAAGGAGGCTGTTCTCAGTACATGCTGGACCTCCAGGCTGGAGAGGGCGGTTGCTCTCTGCAGATCTGGTCCAGAAAAATGCAAGACCTCCTTTACTGACTTCAGTTTGGCTGAAATTACAGATAAATGGCAAGAAAAGGTTACAGGAACACAAGGCAGTCACAGAGGCAGTTGGTGAGAGCCTGAGACACCACAGGGGGCAAGGGTGAAGCTGGGCATGGAC